TCATGTTTTGCCCTATATTTTCCGAAGATAGATAAAATCTGAAGTAAGCTGCATATGGATGGATAGAGCGTAAAAAGCTCTATCAGATGATACCCAGAAATCATGCGTTTACCTGCAAAGAATTGAATAACGCGTATCTTTGTTCTCGAAGCTGTTAATGGGCATATCTCCTGACATTGAGGGTTAAAGCCACAAAGCCGTCGTGGGTTTGGTGACAGTCCCACCACTCACTCCAGCAGTGGTACTTTGGGTGGTCTCACATGTTTCACTGCGCCGATACTGCTCAAACTTCATAATTTCTCGAAGTAACTAACTTTGCATTTTAGCAAGTATAAAAATTATCAAATATTTAAATGACCTTATATAGGTACTATCTGAAAGAGAATAATTTATTCTAATATCCGTCAAAATTGGAAAGTTCAGTCACTTTTCTTCCTTGAGAAATTTGCAATTATTCTCAAGTTGTCCCATTTTTTACCGTTCACCCTAATATATCAACCCTACCTCTTCGGAATTTGAATTTCACTTCCAAGTCAAACACCTCTGTGAACCACTTTATAATGAAAGAACTCGGAAGAGCACAGCAACGATGCAAGCGTTCATTGAAAATAATGAGTCACTAATGTTCTTCTCACATTAGTAATCGAAACAGCTGACATTTACGGTTCCAAACTTCTAATCTTCGGAAGACTGCCTTACCTCACACTACGCGCAGAAAAAAGCTGATTTTACGATTAACAGCACTTGTTTGTTGGACTAATTTAGCCAACAAATCTTACATGATTCTTAGCGAACACACGACTATAACGTATATACTCATTGACTGTCAGAAAATGCTCGGTCAACCTTAATGCAAAATGCAGAAGGACTTTTGAACAGAAAGCTGAGTAATAGAATATTAAATCAGCTACACTTGTGATAATAATCAAGATTTTGTTACCATTGAAACACAAGTTGATAAAAATACTGCGAACTACATTAATTATTTCTTACATTTTTAGATAAGCCAAAAAAAAACTTTTGAAAGTAAAAAAAACAGAAAGACGCTGAGAAAAACTCGATATACATATGTTAACTTAGCAAGAAAAAAGTGCACGAAAAGTCAACTGTTTGATTTCGTGAAGATCAAGTCTTTTGTAACCTAAATGCTGTACGCCTTTAGTGATCTTTGGTACAACTATTGCTGTGATTTTTGCCTATTGCCAATGCTTTTCGGAACTCGCTCAATGCTTTCGCAAGCCCATAGTTTTCGCAAAAAGCATAACGACCGTGCGAATGACGCAACATAGATAAGAAAACATGCGTCACCGACTGCCAATACATCCGGTAAGAATATATGTTAAGAGATCTTGTTGTAAAACAGGGACAACAGAAGCGAGAAAAAATACATAAAACGAACTGTCTGTCCCATTCATACCTTAAAAGGGAAATGGGCTAAAAGAATTTTTTCTCTTAGCCGAGCATTGTCAAATGAAAATAGATAGCATAACATTCTTACATTCGCAACATCCCCTCTTCTAAGAAGGGAAGGACACTCGGCTGAAGGGGCTTTCTAAATAAAATGTTACTGTCATATAGAGCATGAAACGCTGAAACCAAACCCTCTTTCTTTATCTGCAAAGAGCTTCTGGGAGGGAAATTACGTTTTCTGAGGAAAAATAAAGGGTTTTTCTAAGGTAAGAGCTGAGTTTTTTCCGGCGCTTGATAAAAGTTATGACTGGCTAAGGATAAGGCTGAAGATATTAACTGCATTAAGCGCAGTCCCCATTTGAAGCTCAGAAACTGCATTTCTGAATTTTGATGTAGCAGAGCGTTCAGTTTTCTTCACAACCCCCCCCCCTCTCCCTCAAAAGCGCTTAGCAGGTTTCGAAAGCAGATTTGGAATCAGCGTTCCACTATAAAACGTTGTACATTTCGCATAGAAACGCCCTTCTACTGAGTATCCTTCCACTGTAAATCGTAGGATTTTACGATGCGCTTGTCCTTTTCCTATCAGATGAGATTCATCACTTGTAAAGATGACAAAGGTCCTTCCACGCAACTGTATCAGAGATTCAAAAAATATCAATGACTCGAATGCATGCACATCAAACTGCGGATGCTGAATGATGGGAATCAAGAATAATGGATGAAAGACGAAAACTCAAGAATGGAGGATAAAATGTGAAAAACATACATATAATAAAGGATTGAATGCCTCTAACTCTCTGCGTTATCGGAAATTCTGCTTGCCATTCCGAACATTTCCAAAAAATCGACTTGTTATCATAGAGAAATTATATAGGTAAACCTTGCTTCTATTTGTAACATCTTGGTAAATTTGTTTGCTGTAGACAATTAACCTAAATACAATTTTGCGAAAAATCTGAAAGGCGCCAGAAGCTTCCCTGGAATATAGATTTTCTCTTTGAAAGAAAAAAAACTTTTTCGCTAGTCTCCAATTTCTTAACTTCTAGAATACTTTCTGCGCAGCCACCTAACACAAGTATGTGATTATCTGCATCTTTTCGATATCCTAATACGATACTTCACGATCCAGCGCTTCAGTTTGGTCCACCACCTACAAATGTTGTTTTCAATAGTGATAGCTTTTTAGGTAGAATTTAGACCACCCATAAAATGAACCATATCAGTTCGGCCTAACTCAAAGTGTATTTTTATACTTTTTAGGTATTTTTGCGACAAAAAACAATCGTGACGTTTTTCTGCTCAAATTGCAAAAGTTGCAAAAACTATGCCAAACTGCTCACGAAGTCAATTACACAGCCTAATCTCTCGTGTTGCACGGTGCACACTTTTTTTTGCTGACGTAGTGGACAAATGAATTCCGAGATATTTCGCTCCTGCTGAGTTTTTTGAACAAAATATCAAAGCATTTCCTAATCTCAGGCTTAGCTACACATGTACCCAGCAAAACATCTCACTAATTAAGTGTTACCATGGAAACATAATGACGATGATATATCAGGTTGTCCCATAAGTTCCGTCCGCTTTGGATTTCAATCGCAATAAATTATGAACTTCATGTTCCTAGATAGGTTTCAAGGTACCGTTCGATAGAGCAAATCAAGCTCTACAAGATGGCTATCTCGCTTTTGCATCAGCTCTGATCCATCTCGAGATTCAAGGCGAAAACTAAAAAGATCCAACTGCCCGAAAAATCGAGAAAAAATCATAACTCCGTTCAAAAAATTCTGTAAAAATTCTAACTTGCTCGCGTAAACAGTATCCATATAACACATTTATATACGCCATTGCCGTGTTTTTTCTTTGGCTAGAAATCAAGAAAATGAAGATTTTCACGCTTTTGCCAAACTGGTGCTGTGATGTCCCTACATAGATAGTTGTATACTACTAGCTCGTAGAAGTACAAATGTAAATTTTCAGCTCTCCACAGGCACTAGCTCTCGAGAAATATGGATTTTAGCGTAAGGCATCCAACTAAGGCAAGCTGTATTCGATATTTCTCGAGAACCAAAGCTTGTAGAGAGCTGAAAATTTATGTTTGCACTTTTACAGGCTAGTAGTATACAACTATCTATGTAGGGACATCACAGCACCACTTTGGCAAAAGCGTGAAAATCTTCATTTTCTTGATTTCTAGCCAAGGAAAAAACACGGCAATGGCGTTTATAAATGTGTTATATGGATACTGTTTACGCGAGCACGTTAGAATTTTTACAGAATTTTTTTGAACGGAGTTATGATTTTTTCTCGATTTTTCGGGCAGTTGGATCTTTTTAGTTTTCGCCTTGGAACTCGAGATGGATCAGAGCTGATGCAAAAGCGAGATAGCCATCTTGTAGAGCTTGATTTGCTCTATCGAACGGTACCTTGGAACCTATCTAGGATCAAGAAGTTCATGATTTATTGCGGTTGAAATTTAAAACGGACGGAACTTATGGGACAACCTGATAGCTCAACAGTGATTTAACAATTTCACTTCTTTGTCATTTCACAAAGCAGAAAAGGCAAGACAAAAAATTTAAATTTTTTTCGTAACCCTTAAAAACAAAATTTTCATGAAGGGGAGGGGTGAAGGAAAGTAGTACAAGCTGTAACTGTGTAGGAGAAAAAAAGAGAAAGCAACATGGATAAAGTACCTGCAAATTTTTTTCGTGAAGGAACAATGGCAAAAAAAGCAAGGAGGATAAAACAAAGACACACTCAAAATATGCAGCAACTTTTGAGAAAAATATAAAGGAACTGAGCAAAGTACGCAAAGGAAATAACATGTTGAGACAAAACGGATTTTGGAGGTAATTTTTCAATAGAAGAACTTGAGGAAACGTATAAGGTGGAGGACTTTAAAGAAATGAACAGCTAAGCAATTATTTCCTTCGCAAAGGGGAGACAAAAATATGTCTCCACGGATAACGGAAATATCATGAATCTAGAAGAGCCAGCAAGAATTTCCATGAATTGAATGAATTGAATGTTCTAAAAAACTGACAAATAAGTCGATGGCATTGATACTGCCAAATCTGCAGACTGAAAAAAAATCTGATTGCAAACTCTATTCACCCAAATTCTATCCAAAGGATAGCAGAAGAACTTAGGTTTGCAATAAAAGCGCTATTCTAAAAAACTAGAGATTACTGTCCGAGCTCGCAATCCGACAAATTCTCTAATAATAAAATTGAAGAGAAACATTTTGAAGATTACCAATATAAGCTTTCTCGACGCCATACCTTCTGATCACAGAAATAATGACTGTTCTGGTAGTATTCATTTTCGAGTATGTCTCCTTTTCTACAAGAACGTATCAAGCTTTTGATAGTTGCTGAACCACACTTCGATCCGCAACTATTATCTGATCATATCGTTACTTATTGTCTCAGCTTGCAATATATGCTCCCCGTCTAATTACTGATGAAGCGTTTTTTCCAGAATTTTCCAAACAGTTGTAAAGAGAACGCTGACTCATGGCTCGTTCAGACAAAAACCCAATGCGACGCGCTGACAGATAACGCTCGAAGCGGCGATAGGTGAGGACTCACTCTAAATCCATTTTATTCGACCGAACACGCGTCGCCGTGCTGGATGATCGAGATCGATCGGATTCCGTCGAATCTTCCGAAACACATCGAGGTTCTTGCTTGATCTGAAAAAAATTGCGATCAGAGTACTGCAAGGCCACACTGGCCGATTATCTGAGTTTGACTAAAGCCATTCTAGAGATTTTGAAAAAGCTTTTGAATACTTCGAGATGATTACACTCTTTTCAAACAGTGTAAAGTTATTCTACTTATACCAGTGGCGGTCTTAGGATTTCCGTTCAAGGGGGGGGGGACAAGGTTTATTCCGAGTAAAAGTGGTGGCTTCAGCCACGCACTCCGAAAAATTTTGAAGTACTTCACAAAGTTTTTGTGGGTCCATGACTCCGAAACTCTAGAAACAATGAGCACCCTCCCCCTCCCGCTCCTCCCCCCGAAAAATTTTTATTACACGGCTTATAAATTTTCAAAAACTTTTTGAACATATTTTTCATCTACAAGTGTAGACAAGTCACTTTCACATTTCTATAACCCAGTAAGTAATTTTCGAAAATTTCGCGGCTCATTCTTGGGGGGAGAGGGAGAAAACCGCTCTCCCTCGGCCTTCCATTGCGTTATAATGTTTCTCACTCCACCAAAGTTCTAACTCTAAAAATACTTTTAATTATTACATAATTATGTCTGCAGTGTGTCTATGCACATAGTTGGTATGTGTTTGTGTGGTATGTGTTGGACTAGCTTTTTTTTCTTTTTCGGTGCACTTTGAATAGATAGATAAATAAGTAATGGGTGAAAATATGAGGCGCTCTATATTATGTGCTGGAGAGTATCAAATAAAATTCACGCATAACCAAGGAAAAAAATTGCGACAAATAAGTGAGATTTATGAGCGGCACAAGTTATTGTTCATCACCGTTTAGGTCACACGTCCAGCTTTCTGAGCTTGAGTTCAAAAAAATTTAAGAAATTTTAGAAAGTGACAGGCGAATTTATTGCGTTTCCTACATAAAAAGATAAAAAGTAGAGAAGAAACAGTAACTTAAGGATTTGAAACTCCTCCGCTAATAAACAAAACGGCAATAATTTATCATTTTAGATCCCTTGTTCCAGAATCACATAGTACCCAATACAGGTATGAGAATAATACACACTTAACATCATGAAGAAACGCAAAAGATGGCAGTGTAGAGTTCTTTACCCCTTGTACTCCTGTTTTCTTTCTATATGACTAACTGAGCACATAATGTAAGCATTTTCATGCGACTGAGTAAACAAGCAAACAGAAGCAACTTGACGGAAGCAAAACGATAGTGGTTAAGTTTCGTAAACTTTTTTTGACTGCAGCGAATAAGAAGTACTTTCAGGAAGTTCGAAGATTGGAGTAACGAGGTAGCTGATTTTACGAACATTCCTTGAGAAAAACTTCGGGAGTAGCAGGAACGAAGTAAAGACTGCTTCCACAAAAATTCTACAGATTTCTGAATCAAGCAAAAAATACATTGGTAAGGATATTCACGGAGAGTGTGGCTAAGTGAAGTAAATGGATTGGTTTCGAAAGATCGTTATTCTACGCTCAAAATAATCCATTTAATAGATTAAACAAGAAGGGGAATGTAGCAAAGCGCCGTCACGGATCTCCAAACAAGTAAATTTTTATTGAATTTGTAGTGTAGGCGGATTTGGAAACTGCAGCAATGATAAGCTCAGCTCTAATAGTGGGAAGCATCAACAAAAACTGAGAAATGCCTTTTCAGGAGTGTATCATAAAAAATTGTATGCCTGACACTTGTTACGGTTTGCTTTCATTGAATTGAAAGCTAGCTCTAAAGCCGTGACACCTCATAATTTTCCAGTTTTCCTAAGCAAACTGTCGCTAACAACCTCGTGAAATTATGCCCATCATTCATGAAAGCTGAAAGAAACGAATCTAGTCCAAATGACAGTGTCGAAGGAAAGGACGACAAAATAACATTCAGTTCTTACATATCTGTAACCTAGGGCGTGTTAACTACACAGTAGTACAAAAGCATTTAGATGTCGATTTTATATTTTCTGACTAAGATCCACCACTTTCTTATTATGGCAAAATTATGTGTATGCTTATATGTACATCAAGCTCAACAGATTCAAGCAAAAGCCGCGCCGAAACATTGCCGACCATGCGAAAGGCTATAAACTCGGCTTTTTTTGCACATAAAACGGTCACTATCACTGTTCCGGGTGCAGATTAGTCATACGATCATAAAAATTCATACGAAGCCCTTCACAGAGCTGTCACTAGTGTCGTAAATAGACATGCGTTGCAAGGGTATCATCGGGTCGAATTTGTTTTTTATTGACTAGAGTATTTGTTTAAGCCCACGTTATAGCTCTTCAACGGGTGGGCTTCAATTCGTGAGTTGGAGTTATTGTTGATAGATATTATTATGTAAAAACAGCCTAGCAAATTCTTGATTTGATTTCGCAAAAAATATTTGACTATTCGAATAAGCCAAAAAAAAACCTAAATGTTGGTTTTATTCTCTGTTTTCGACGTGTGACTGAATTGAAGTTATTGTTTTACGAGCTTAGCTGAAGTATGGGTAGACTCTATCATTTTTATTTGAAATTTTTTTGCAAAAAAAAAACTTGAGTCAGCGACTTCAAAAAAACTAGAAATTCGCTTTGCTCCAACTGATTCAAATCGATGCTTCAACAGATATTATTTTTACAATCCCACCCCCCCCCCTCCCCCGTGCCCCGTCTCCCACCTCCAGCTCACCTCTATTTTTTGTACTTGTTGTTGTTGCTGCTGCTGTACCAGCTGATCAGCTGCCGTGACCGTTGCAGACGTTGACGGTGCCGCTGCTCCCGAAACAGTTACCCCGTTCGTCGACGACGTCCCCGGAACGGACATTGCCGTGGGGAATCCGGTCGGAAGCGTTGAACTCGCCGATGTGCCGACCATCGGTTGCATGATGGGTGTTTTGGCCACCATAGCGTTCAATATCGCTTGGTAGTCACTGGAATAACGAACTTTTTTGGTGGTGTGAAAAAGAAACTATTTTTTGATTTTCCCCCATGCGAAGCATTTTTTCTCGCTGATTATGTTTCGGAATCGCAACGGCGCATCGAACAATTTCGGGGCTGATGTGGCGGCTGGCTCATCGTTATCACTGACAAGTGTGTGAGTAATAACTCTGCGAAGAAGACGTTATCAAACGCCTATCAGTCGTCGCTCCGCTCGCTCATCCAATCATCACCGCCACCCATCGCACAACACACACATCAACAAACGCACAAAGTGACAACACACACTGTACAATGTGGGGAAGAATACCGGCAAAACACAAGGTCACCCAAACTCATTCACCCACTGCCGAGTAGTTGCCTACCTGGGAGGAGAGCAGCGGGTACAGTAACCTACAGTAATCCCGAGCTTGGACTAGGCGATCTGCTCCAAGAGCCAATGTGGCGCGCTTCACGCCTTAGCCCTCCTAGGCGCATTTTCCACGAGGAGTCCGGATGTCGCTACTTTATCATATGTTTGTTCAACCGCACGGCGCTCTACCAACACACACACTCTCACACGCCCCCACTCGAATTGTCGTCAGCGATGAAGAATTTCCCGGGTCGAGTTCATCAGAGTAGCTTCCAGGAACGAAACCCGGAGATAAATGAGCAGAAATGTTGACTTTTGTAGAAAAAATTGCTAGAAAAGAGCAACTTACCGACTAGAGGGAGATATGAGTGGAGTGAGCAGTTCGGTGCTGACCAACGGTGTTAGGAACCCGGGCGAAAGCACTTTTTTCTCGAATTCGAAATTGTGAATCTGTTGCACTGTGCGGAGCGCATCTGCAATAGATTGCTTTCAACATAAAAAAGAGCTGCAAAAAAAGGTGCGTGGTCAGAAGGGTTGATAGAAAAAATAGGTGGCAAAAACTATGTGGGCGGTGGGGTGACACAAACCGAGAAATCCTTGCGCGTACTGCTTTTGTTCGAGCGTTGGATCGGCACGCGGTTGCTCTGAAACGTCGACAAATCACGAGACTTATCTCAGCCCGCATAGCACGATTGCCAGCTGGACGACTGGCCCCGCGCTCTGGTTGAGATATTTTAGAAGTTACTATTCACGCGCTCGTAAACAAGTGGAGGCAGAGCGCGAGGCCTATTTATCACTCGCATAGATGAAGAAATCGGCAAAAACTCACCATTACTAGCAGTATTGGTCGTAACAGGAAGTGGATTACGTAGCTTTACGCTGGATAGATCCAGGGACAGTGTGCCCCGGAGGGCTTGGAATTCGCCTTTCTGATCGAGGGCCAGCGATCCGCCGAGGGCCTGGAACTCGCCCTTTTCGCCGTCCATGACTCAGCCAGCCAGCTCCACGGTCGCACACTGAATCACTCGTGGCCGCTCGTCCGTTTCGCCTTCTCTCTCTCCGTTTCTCGCTCTGTAACAGCGCGCACACGAATCGATGACTGGGCGCTACACGTCGCGACGTCACCATCGCACCCGCGACGCGCGATTGTCGCGGCACGGCGCGACGTGGCCGCCGTTCGCGTCATGCTCGCATATTCACACAGCAACACATTAATCGCATTCGCTCTATGCACGCAAGGTTTTGGCGGAGAACACGGCCGAAACTCAAGAAGCCGCCTGGCGACGCATTTGCGGCGCCAGAAGTCGGCCAGTCCAAAAATTCACAAAAAAAATCGCTACAGTATCAATAAAGAAGGCTACAACGATCTCGCAACATGGACTGCACATAAACACTATGCGATGTTCCGAGCAAAAACAGTTGTCAACTCAGCTTTGGCTGAAACATATGACAGATATGATGCCTAGACAGTAGTCGTAGGTGAGAATAAGCCATCATAATCAGTATTTTGAAGGCGTCGAAGTGATTGCGTTGCCAGGAAACGCTTTGAAGAAAAACCGTCGTCACAAATCTGTCCTCATCAGCGGGAACGTCTACACAAAAACTGTATATACTGAAGTTGGCAATGCCTACAGCTCTCGACACAACGAGGCAGAAGAGAGAGCAGGACCTAATGTGATTTGGAAATCATGCCTAGTCAGTGACCGCCACTTACTGTACTGGCATTTGTTCTTGCTCTTTCATGACTTGAAAATGACAGAGCAATTAAGGTGAAACGACACTTCATTGCACTTTGTCGTTCCTTGACCAGGTATGTAGCCCACCATAAAATGGCATAGACATTTTTTGGACATTCATCATCATTATGAGTCGTGTTTCTAGTGACCACTGAGAGCTTGAAAATATATGGGAAACATAGGAAAGAATTGTTGTCCTTAGAACCTGTTCAGCGATACTCACACTTTTCTTATACCTCCTATAATTTACCATATTCCCTGGCAAACTGGTGACGAAGCTAATTTGATGGATCCTGGAGATACTAATTCCTTTCGCAAATCCAGAGTCCTTGAAACAAGACAGTTTCCTCTACAAAAAAGCCAAGGTTTTTCTAGAGAAAACGAGCATTAGTTTCTGAGAAAGTCCTTTCTGTGCTGACTTAAATACTAATTTTAGCGAAAATATAAAAAATTGATATTCTTGGCTCAAAGGAACAACGGAGATTTTCAACAAAGCGATAACCAATAGATTTATTCATAATTCTTAAATTAAAAGTGTTATGAAAATGCTTTAAAAACTGACAGAATTTGAACGATTAAACCTTTTTCTAAGAGAATATCAAGGTTCACGGTGTGTACATACTTTTGGAACACTTCGTAAAAAAATTGATGTGAAACTAAATCAAATGAATAATTATTTGAAAAAAAACTTTTTATAGGAGCATCCTATCGTTATGATTTCTTCAGCTAGGAAGGGTAAAACAAAAAACCAGAAAAAAAATTAGTCCAAATTTGATTGATCTTGTTAACTTTTCCATTTCTTTTAACGAACAAGTTTTAAGTACAAATTCAGAGCATCCTTTATCAGCTGGTATCGCCGCCATATGTAGACTACGATTTTTGTACTGAATAGCATGAAACTTTTTTCCCTTAAAATTAACGAAATGAACAAATCTATAACAATCGAAATCCCTAAGAGCCTACAAAAACTTGTTCCAATGCTAATGTGTTGAACTTGAGTTCTGGAGGATTTGGAGTTGCCTTAATGAATCTGGACAAAATGTAAAAACCTAGAAATCATTGTCTCTCAAAGTTCAGTTCTCTTCGAAGTAATGGTAATCAATAGCCATCTATTAAAGGTGTGATCTGTAAACGTGCAGAAAAACCAGATTCTTCACTTGGGCACCGGCGCAAAAGATGGTGACGGAGAGCGTTTAATCGTCATTGCTGATCAGTGACGGTGGTGTTGAGAATGAGAATGAGAATGGACAAACTGCGACATGAACTTCTTTACTGCAAACACATATACTATGGTGATACACACACACGCACAAGAATACAACACGGACGTTTCATGCCTAACCGTAAGTGTGACCGGAAATCAATGCCAGATGATGGGCTTATGCGAGAGATGAGATGGAATTTTAGGGTCAAAGCGCAGAGTTTCTAGACTTCTAGAAAACGAGAGCATTAGTAGCGTAGTGACTACGAAAACGACAAAGAAGACGTAAGGAGATAAGGAGTGATAAGTCCGCTCGCTGCTAATTGGAATTTTCGAGCGAACTAAGGTCTTCTAAGTCACTAAATGTCAATACAAAGAGTTACAAGGTCTATACATAAATAACTCGTGATACACCGTCATTCTAGGACGCAAGCTCAGATTCAGTTGGAAGACTCGATAAGGAGCGGCTGATTCGCATTGTGGTCGGTGGAGTCGTGGTGGTTCCTTACGAAGTCAAGACAGCACTTCTCGTACTCCTCGCTGTGCACCCGGTAGTGCTGACAGTGCAGTGAATCCTTCCAGGTGTTCATGTACGTCGTCACTCCTTGCTGTTCTTGGGAGGCCGCGAACGCTTCGATTGATTCCACGGAACAAACCTGAAACGGAACTGTTACGCTATGTTTTTCAATTCCAATTTTTTTTGAATTTTTGACTTGGATTGAATTACACCATGTAGCACCATTTCACATACAGAATATAACTGAGAACCCAAACATCTTTCTCTCTCAAATAAGAACTAAGACTAGGGTTTAGACCACAGCTTATCATTAAGATTTCACCTATATTTTGGAAAAAAAAGGATGTTGTTTTTCATGGGAAGCAGTAAGATGTATCCAGAAAAAAATCTGTGAGGGAGCATTCGATAGAGCAAAGAAAGCTCTACAAAATGACTCCTGAACATTGGCAGAAGTCCTGATCTGCGCAAAGTTTGCAGCCAAGATAAATGAACAACCATGATGCCAAAAATTGGAATTTCGCCAAAATCCTACGAATCTCTCACTCGCTCCTGCATATAACAGACGCATGCACTTACCCATAAATACACTTGCTATATTTTATTCACGCTTGGAAATGAAAAAGAATTGAAAAATAGAAAATGGCAAACTCCGCCCCCAATAGTCCTAACATTCTCCTAGAATGCAATTATGTACTACAAACCCACTAAACTATAACCGTGAATTTCGGTCTGATATGCCTTGGTTATTGAGAAATATCAATATTAGCTGAGAAACCGAAAACCCGACAAATAAACCGAAAAAACCCGACAAAAACCCGACATTTTTTCCTTCCATCCTAACAGATTAGCTTTTCCAGTGGACTTTTGTAGAATATGAAGTGAAACACGGAAGGTGCATGGCTTAGACGCACTAAGCCCTTAAAGATCCACATTATATGATGTCTTCATCATGGAGAACACTTTTTTGTGTAAGCTGAGCAGCTCAATAAATGAGCCCGCATCGCAGATTTTCGCACTCAAATTAATCATCTAATGCGATTACAGAATAGAGTCATGGTGATAAGGCGACTTTCATTTGAGTCTAATTTCGTCTTCGATTCTCTGAGATTCTGTAAGCTTTAGAAATGACAAGACATTAAAGATGCACATAATGACTATTGCTTCTGAAGGACATTCAAACGCGATTTGTTTAACTATTTTACCAAAGTGAGACCTTGTTTAAAGGGCTGAAAGTTTGTCGTTTACGTTTTGCTGACATATGTTGAAGTCAGCTATAGTCAGCTTATGTCTCCCCACTAATCTAAAAACCTTCTTCAATAAAAAGCGCTGTTTTTACGTGTTTTAGCGAGCTTGTGCCCAACATTGCGCCTACGTCACAGCTGATTCTAGATTTAGTAGCCAGTGCCCATTCCACCAACAACAAAAAGTGTTGGCAATGTTTGAATTCCAGCACCTATTCCCTAGTTATGAAAAAACATAATTGTCGCTGTAATGCAGTGAATCAGCAGATTTGCCAAACTGCTTAGTGTCATAGTGTGAAAAGAAAACTTCAGCGAACGCATATATGTCCGAACATTGCACTGTGAACGTAACAGTTCATTTTTTGGCACTAGCAAGAAGAGCATGCGATAAAATTAGTATTATGCATCCTACACATTTCTTTTTGTAAAAAATGTGTACTGTTTATTCGGTTTTTCCCATACTTACTCTCCCTCTAAAATATCTTTTCAACTGCGATAGCCCATCATTGAAAAAAAAAAACTAAATGCAGTAGCTAGGCAGACTTGGAGATCTTACAATCTCCATTATTCTCGTGACCGCAGCTGAGGCCAAAAGCGTGCTCGAAGACTTGAATATGACAGAATCAACTTTTTCTGTTGAACTCAAAACTGTTAGAAGGGCGGAGACGGGGATACCGTTCCTCTGAGGAGCCAATCAGTCAATCGCCGCAAAGATGGGTGGGATGTCTCCGCCCACTCGAACCGGCCACAGCCACAACCAATGTAGTTCCCAAAAGGCCGACGGTTCATCTGCGATCCGCCTATGCACCACTATTTTCACGTCCAGAAAAAAATGTTTTCGTTGCCTTCAAGAACTGTTAAAAACAGTTTGAACCAAACACATCCACAGGGTCCAAAAATTACAGAAACGTCAGAGACCAAATCTGCTCAACCACTGCCTCTAGGAGCTGGTTTCTATAGTAAACCGATAAATCTGTTTACCGGAAACTTCATTTTCAGTGCAAATTTAAGATTCCGGTTTGAGCGCACATGCCAATGTATATGATACGATACGAAATATGCACGTGAGTGCAATCCACTTCTTTGAACAGTCAATCGTGATGAATCACTATGTGGACGACTGCGTGGCGCTCATTTGCTCAACGATTTTGAAAATGGTAACGAGTTGATTTTCATTTGCGAAACTTGCTGAGATGATAAATGGGAGAAAACCGAAAAATGCCACATGAAAAAGAAGATTCTCGTTTCCACGTTCGAAAGTCCGACGATAATTGGAACTACAGCATGGAATAAATCTTCCTTTTGTCCTTGGGGAATCAACATGGCATAAAAAACCACAAAATCCATCCACAGTATGAAAAACCAGGTGTTGTTTTGGCCCCTGATCTATAGCGTATGAATATGAAATTACGCAGAAACTCGTTCTGATCTGCTAACATATGAAATGATTCTATGAAGACTTCGTAGGTCAATAAGTTTTGCTGATAAACTTTCCCTTGTGAGGAGGTAGAACTAAAAAGTTCCATCCCCTTTTATTTCGAACTCTCCTGAGCTAGCGAGTGTCTGAAAAGCTTTCAAACATATTTTTCTGGAAGTAGCCTGCGTCCTTGATTGGCAAAAATCACTTGTCGCCTTGTCACCACCCCGCATCCTCCCCCCCCCCCCCGCCTCCTCGGCCACGTAAAATCTAGGCACTTTAAAATAAGGTGCTTGATGAAAGAAAACCATAGTGTGGCAAAATCAGCACAGTTCCACCCCCCCCCCCCCCTGATGTGCAGTTTTCATGTCGTCAAAGGCCCCAAGTGACTGTTTCCCTAACCCAAAGCATTAGAAGAATTACTAATGAAGGAGAGGTAGACGTAATCGGCAGCAAAAAAAATGTCTGCGTCACAACATATGATTTCATTAGCGAAGTGATGGATAGCCATGATTCTCTATTGTACAATTGGCACTTTGCCATTCAGCAGTCATCTAGGGTATAAGGTGCACTAGTAGTAGCACTTCTTCATAGAACTCTTAGTTGCTCACAATCAGAAATCTTGGCCCTATTAACAACCTTCGAAAAACTTTAAAGGCAGCTTCTTCGCCAAATTCTTGTGCGTGCGACAGTTGGAGGAATAAATGGCATAAATATGTCAGCTCTAACCAGAAAAAACTTCGAAAGGAATTAGGAGTTTTTTGTTGAGCAGAATCATCGATGACTTCTTCACAACCATTCATTTCCAACCAGCTATGAGTCATGTTAATTCAGTTCCAGTTTTCAGCACAAAGACTCTTACCTAAACTAGTTTCCCATGCTTCAGCGGATTCGACATGAAGTGTTGGGTGAAATTGAGAATGTGACGAGTGGTGTAATACATATGAGGGGAAATTCACAAAACAGAGACGAGACTATGCAGTGCAGTGAAATTATGATTTACGATTACAAATTTTCCAGAGCTTACTTAATCTTTTTTGCATCAACCTCAGCTGAATCATTTATCCGCCCCTTCTAGCAAAACGTTGCATTATTGCGTATGCACGTTAAGAGGTCGTTTCGCGGTGAATGTATTTTTATATAAAACATAATCTGTTTGAATAGTTCTCTTAGCACTGCATAAAAGAAAGTCGAGTTTGCAGGAATGACACGGTGATTGCATCACAAAAACAATGAGTTCCGATCACTTTGAGAAATGTGCGCGGCCGTTTCGTAGGCTAAGTCATTGGATTGACAAGTGTCCTACCAAGGCTCACCAAAAAAAATATTAGATCGTTTCAAAAGTTGTTTGGCTTTCTTCAACCTGTCATAAAAACAGTGGAATAATACGGACAAGCACTTCAAAAACTATTCGATGCAGTTTTCATTCCTCTTCCCAACAGTCATGTTTCTAATCAATTCTGCTAAATTATTTGCTTTTGTGGATGCCGGCCTAAATATGTCGGCAAAATTTTGATCCTATGGTTTTTGCTACTCTCAAGTTGGCAATTTTTCAGAATTCTCGGTCTCAATCTCTAGAAGGGCTCTGACAACAAGTGAATAGATAAACAAAGTGCTTTACAATAAAATTTTTTGAGCATCTTTGACTAGCTTTTCAGTATTTTTCAATATGGTTTTTCCGAAACTCTTCACTTTTGCGAAGACGAACGCATCAAACGCTAAGAAATCTTCGGAATCCATGAGTTCCGAAACTCAACTATCATTCAACAAAATTTTACAAAGCAAATGAGCTTTTTCGCTTCAAGGTATCGGATTCTGAAACTCCGGGCAGCTGCAAGCGTCCAAAAATTCACAATTTAATGATTTCATCTCCGAAGGTCCCGTAAAGGGAAGAAAGTGCGCAGCAAAAAAGGAGAAAAAGTGCATCAAGCAATGCTCGAGTTGCTTGTTGGTTGATGTTCTGTGAGGTTTGGCTGAATCAAATATGGAATTTGTCAACAGGAAGATAATCTTGGTAATTTTGAAATGATAGAGATACCAAAAAATGCAGTCTTGCTCTTTACTAAAGTAAACGCTCCCAGAACTTCAAAACAAGGGATGTGAATAATTTCCAAACTTGGTCCATGGAAAAAGCATGGGTTCGAAACATCTGCAAACATCTCAGTAATCGCAAAAGCAAAGAGGAAGAAAAACTTCGTCGAATAGTCCTTGAAGTGTTTGCTCATCTTTGAGTTCTATGGTATTATAAATAGAAAAAACGAAAAGAACTTTCAAAACGATATTTTATTGTATTTTGTAACACTAGTGTGAGTCCAGCATTGTCAAGGTGCACGTACAGTCATCTCTCAGTTTTGCATATTTATGTCGCTAATTTTCCTTGTGGCGCATGCTTGAATTTTAGAATTGTGTAGGGTATGCAGTGGGATGTAAAGGATGAATCAGCTGCGGATTACATGCCAGTATGTTGGAGGTCACAGCAAATGCGAAGAGGTTTTTACGACAAAATGTAATGAGAAGGGATCAGATTTCTCTCTAAAAGCATGGCTATCAACGAAGGACTAAGGGAAGAGCGAAGGAGCTTTTTTTTAATAAGAATCATTCGCAAATTTCACTGGTAGAAAAATTTGTTCGAGCATATTTGTCCTAACGTCCTCGTGGTCCATAATTCTAGAATTCGATGCTTGCAAAAATTCCAGAGTTGAAAAGTTTCGGTTTTTCTCGTCTGGAAAGACATGGGTAAGCCACGCTTGTTGTAGTTGAGGAGTTTTTTACCGCTCATCCTCAACCTCATGAAAAAATCATTACACGTACAGCAGCTGACTGAAGTAGATAAAGGACAGAACAATTTCTTATAGCCTGTGAACTGGCTTGCGTTTTTCTGGAAGCTTGGAACATGCTTTTACTAGTTTGTCCGTAAACTTTTTTAGGCCTATTGCGCTAATCAGAATGATCCTAAGAAAGAGGAAGCTACAGGCAATTTGAGGTCTGCAAGAAAATTAAGATAGATTTGAGAAAATGTTTGCCTATGAACCCTCATGATGTGGCAATCACCTTAACCAAAGTAATTCAGAATATAAGTACATTCGACTGCCAAACATTCATTCTGGTACATTCCATGAAAAAAGTCTTTAAAAGTGACCTATGAACTCTCACTCACAAGGCTTCGCACAGCTTCAATCAGCTCAAGCTGGACACTTTTTTGGGAAGTCGCAAAGGGGATATCTTTTTTGCGGGAGCCGGATGGAGAAGCCACAGGCATGCCAGGAGCATGCTGGCAAGGCGACGGCGTGCAAGCGGCCTGCTCAACCTCAAACGGACAAAATCTTTGTTTACAGCCAAAGCGCAGTGTCACCAAATTTGGGGTGCACATGCGCGTGAGAGGGACTTGAACGGTGGGTGAAAGTTTTATGGAAAACTGTATGAATGTAAGGCCGTGCTCAACAATTTTCCGAATTAGCTGGAACCATGCCTAGGTTTAGCTGAGCTGGCACTGACCATTGCTCACATAATTTTTCATATACACATGTTGTACCTTCGATAAGTTTCGATACAAGCGAAAAACAGTTTTGACATTTCCTCTAGGCTTTTTTATAGAACGTAGAAATTTCCAACGGCGGCGCGGTCTGCTTCGGTCGCAAAGTGCGCAGCTAAGCAAACCGACGCGCAAATCTTTCATTTTCGCTGGGCTGACGGCCATCAAGCTTTTGCCTTTTTCCTTTGCCTTTTCTCGTTTTTCAATGCTACTCATTCTTCGTCCCATCGCAGAGGAGGAGGGAGGGAAGGGCAAGGTGGAAGGGTAAGAAAAGAGAAGGGGAGAGGGGTGCCATTTATCCTGAGTTTAGGCCACAGTCCAGATAGAAAAAAATTATTATTATTATTTATTTAAAATAAGTAGAGAGGGGGCTCTGAAAATGTAATATAGGACCCTGTGAAAATTTTGGAAACATAAGAGGGATTTGTTGAAAAATCTCTCTAATGCCAGCTCGTGCCGAGTCCTCGTCGCATATTAATTTGGGAATGCTATAACACAATCCATCAGATCCTTGCCTTGATTTGGTCGCGCGGTGGTAAGGTTGTCTTTGTAAAAGCATGATATTTGGGTAAAAGACGTAAATCTGCTATAGACCTTGCATCTCAATACTTTACAGCCCGTGCCCCTAGCCGACTCAAGAAGCATACCTTCGGCGACATAGGTACTCGACCCGTGATGTCCAGTTCACGCCCACATAATTTACTAGATGGCGTCCCTGGCCCCGCCCGGGAACTGGGCTACTTGGTCCCAGCGCGTTGAGACTTACTGCCCTTACCCATATCTGCGACGAAAATGTGATAGGATATGTTTTCCTTGCTTACTTGAAACACTGGATCCTTTTCGCCGAGAAATGTAGAAGAACTTTACCGCCCGACTTACATGACTATGAGAAAATGATCCTACAATGGTTTTTGAACCCTCGATGCAAGTAAACAAATCAATAAATTGAGAAGGGCCCAACAAATCGTCGCAAAAAGAGCCTATCTTGTGCGCCGCACCTTATTAAGAAGGAAACGAATTTTAGCCTCATCGGTTCACACATAAAAGAGTCTATAAGCCACATACTTACTAACGAACAAATTTACGGAGCTTCAGTTTCATTTATATATAGGTTGTGATAGATAAAGTAGCGGTGCACAAATTTACACTGTTCTTTGGTGCTCAAGAAGGCTAGTTCAGAGCCTCCAGGCTTGCGAATGTCATTCACTCTGAGGAAACAGTTCAGCTCTGTTCAGTAGCAATCTTAATGACACACTGGCATCGAGATGAAGCGCAGTTCGAGCACACAGATTTTGTCAATGGTTAACTTTTACAGTGCTTTCCGCTCAAATGAGTCACTTTCAAGGTTATAGTCACTACTTAAACAGATAAAGATGGCCAGTTACGACTGGATGATCCACTCATGTCCCACAAAATGCTGCATAGAAAAATAAGGTTTTTTTGAGACTCATACCAAACTTTAATGACTCCTCGCACAAGACACTTGGTGGGAAAAACAGTCGAGTGGTTTACATAATTCCACAGCGAAACGAACTGGCTTTCTAAGAGGAGAACGGGGCAGCTGCTCATTTAGTGCAAGTGCTCCAAACGTCACTAACATTTAGCAGGCTAACGTCGATTGCATCGACGTCAATCATCCTAACGCACGAGTAAAAAAGAGAAGAAATTTCTAGCAAAAAAATAAAGGTCGCAGATTCTGGAATTTTCACCAACAGCAGCCAACCCCTGGTGTTAAATGCTTCGAAAATCACTTTGAAAACAGGGGAGTTCAGGCTAGTTTAATGGCTTGATTCTTATGTTTTTGGAGCCATTCAACATGAGCCTTTACTCAGATATTGACTGCAAGACTTTAACTCTTCTTCTGCCAAGATTTGCTCCATAGTTGAAAAAAAAGAAAAAAACCTTTTAGCTGGATGACTCTCTGCCATATATGCTGCATAATGTAAGGATAAGTTTCACGGACCACTTCGTACTATGAATTTATTGATTCTTAATTTCATATCCTTTCTGTAAAAGGCGATTCGAAATTTTATTAGCTCCTCTCGTTGTTAGGAACCTTTTAAGCTAGATAATCTTCATTTTAGCAAGTAAAAACTATTACATGCTTGGAAAGTAAAACTCACATCATCGGACGGTCCATAAAAGAAAATTTGTCTCTTTGGTAGGTCCTTTTGCGACAGCATTCGATAGTAAGCGTAACATTTCTCATAGATATCATTCTCCATAAAAGACCATATCCATATTAACCCGCTGAAAGAATTCGCTCCACCGATGGTCTTATAACAATGATTATAACGCTTAGTGTCTGTGTTTGGTAATAAGTCTTCATCAAAAAGTCGAGAGCTAATTACCGTCAGAATGATGTTGTGCGCGTAAAAGGGAAAAGCTTGACGTGAACATCAGCTTTACGTATTTTGCTCAATTTTGCTTGATGACACTTCTGCAGTAATCGGCTTCGGAGTTTTTCCACAACCAACAAAATGACTTACTTATGTATGGAAAAGTAGGCATAGAGCAGGGCCCGATAACTTTCTCTAAATATAGCATGACATCGCTGAGGAGGCATCGAAGCAAAAGAGATCGCATGGGCATTCTGAGCAGGAGTCGTGAAGGCTGGTGAACTGAAAATTATTTTTGGATATAACACATTCACGACAAGGATAGTTTTTCGATTTATCCATTTCAAACCAGAGCCTTTTTCGCTTTGTCAAACTTACGACACCTGTGAGTCGCACTGTCCGAAGTGGTAGTCTTTTAGAAAAGATACACAATATGTCTTCAAGAGTTTCCCCAGAGGGGGTTATCGAACCACTGGTTATCAAAATGAGATTTATTGCATTATTTGGCATTATACGGTAAGGTAGTCATTTTTTATGAATCCAACATCATGAATAAAATCGAAATTTTTCGATGGGCTTATATGAGAATTTTTCGCCCGTATTTCCTGTGTATGTACACTTGAGTTTCCAAATACAGCATCATTCTTCGAAGAGCATGAGTTAAAGTCACCTTGTCTTTATCTACGGTATATCTACCATAACATTACATTACAGTACCCCGAGCCCGGACCGACCTCTGCCTGGAGCTTTGCCTAGGTGTCCCCAATCATGTGCCAGAACCCCTCGAGGATTCATCGTAAGGTGGCAAAGTTGAAGCTTAAGGTATTTTACGAGACACCGGCAGGTCGTATTGTCCTCAGTGACAGAATACGTACGACCCACCGGTGAATCGCCTTGTCGTCAACGTATTGAACTGTGTTTTAACCATCTCCCTCTCGCTTTCAACTCTACTGTGAAAATCCATTAGAATATCCCACCTGTCAAACAGCAATCCCTGAACACGTTGCTTGAATTCATCTCCGTCTTTGCGACTGTCGAGTAGATCCCATAAAGCAGTGAACGTAGAACAGCCGTTCATAGAAAAGCAATGGAAGTACACGTAAGGAGGAATAGTCAAGTCGTCTCTTTCGAAGACTTCTCGGTAGAATTTTTTCGCAAAGTGATGATAGGATTGGTAGCCGCGCACTTTACGGATTGGTGTGGTAAAGCGGATTGTGGAGATGCTGTAAATAAACTTTGTCAGCCAGTACAAATAATTTTGAGATGATGCACATTTTAGATGTACAGATCCCCCAACGAAAACTCAATGATTGATTATGTTGATGTGCGACATTGCTGGAAATCTCATTGTGTTCTATGCGTGTTTTTCTTCAGACTGCAGATGATTTTTCTTGAGGAACGATTTCTGACAAGACATGCGGTTCTCGGTAAGTTGTCCTTTCCCTGCCCTTTCTTCAATCCCTCTAGAACCTGCTGCTAATGTTGCGCTATCTTACCAATAGCTTTTGCACCTATGTTGCATTTCTTATGGCAAAAACCATGTAGATGACAAGAATTGAACACTTCTGCACAATGATTGTGTAGCAGCCATTCACACGCACTTTGGTAATACGATAGGAGAAGTTATACTACACAGAATATACCAAAACGACGTGCCTACCTTGACTGTTAATAAGTCTCTTGTAAAGAAGTCTTCCAAGAAGCTTTAGACATCATTTTGTAGAGCTGGCTGTTTGGGGTGAAGTAAGTTATGGTGGTGCGGCGATTTGAACGCGGCAATGCGTTTATACCGCCTATGGTCCCAAAAAAAGTTCTTTGCAAACGAGATTTTGAAATTTTTGAAAACATTTTCAGATTGTCCAAAAGGAGCTAGTTTCAAAAAATTAAGCTAGAATTCAATTGGTTGAAGCTCAAGCAAGCTATCGCAATGCGGCACATACGGCGCGACAACGAGTTTATTTCACAGAATTTCAAGGCGGCAGTGTTAGTACTGTATGGTGCGAATCATGAAACTTCCTCTTATTACTGTAGCATTACGGTAGGGACTATGAGGAGGGTTTTTAGTAAATAAGGGTCATATTCCACCCCTAAAACAGAATCAAAGAAGCTGAAAGCTTCTACACTAGGTTACGCTGGTATCAAACGAAACTTGCACTTCACCGTAACGTATTTTTCGTAAGTTACGCCAGATATAGCACAACAACCAATTTTTGCTATTCTTCAAAAATCTGATTAGGCCATTAAAAAAATGCGTAATGAAATCAGCATGCATGAAAACCTTGTTAAACAATTTCTCAGATTCTTCTGGAAATTTATTCCAAATGGCCTTCTTCTCAGTGGCGCCATGCAAGTTCCTACCATGCCTACAGTAATAAAGACATATTCTTAATTTGCTCCATACTGTAAACCTAAATTGAAGCCAGGTCTACAAAACGTATCTAAAGCTTTCCGAAAGACTTCATTAAAGATAGTTATCAACAATTAAACAGTAGGCACATCTTTCTCGGACACCCTGCATAAGTAGCAATGGCGACCTCTAGAAACAAACGTCCTTGGAAAGCCTGGTGCTTAAATGTCTTTGTTCAGACGGTACATCACTGTTAAAAGGTAATGGTGACTAATTTCTTACAATCACAAAGCTCCCAGTCATTAAAACTTCCACGCTAATGAATAAATTGAAAAACTGGCCTAGAAAAAAAAACAAGACTCAATATATTTTTGCATGCCATTACTTGAAAAACGTTTTTTTTGCTAAACCTACTGATATCTGAACTGCTACCCAAATGAGGAGTCAGAATGGAAAAATTAAGTTTTTTGGAAATTAGATGAGAAAAAGAGATAAGATAGGCTAGTAAACAAAAAAAACTTGTCAGTTTCGATGCTGATTGACATAATTCTAGCACCCATTCATTGAGTCAATCTTCGTCTTCACGCCAGAAAAAAAATCGAGAAATATGAAAATGAAACCAACCTTGCCTTTTCATAATAGTCAGCATACTTCTTCAAATAACGGTCATGACAACCAGCCCATCCCAGTAAAATAACCAAAGTATCAGATTCGGGCATCATATTCGTAATGACCCGTGCTGGTTTCGTGCCCGGACTTCCCTTTTGGGAAACCATCCTGTGATAGAAAGCATAATAAGCATTCCTCAGTATAAAATATATTTCGTATGGACGAGCGGCCATTGGCGAATTGCATTGGGTGCTGGGTCAATATGTCGACGATGTCATGAGAGGCATTGACAAGGAGAGAGTGGAACTAATTTCGTGCCAAACAAATCTGCCACAGACAGTACTATGAGGAGTGGAATTATCGCGTCAAAGGCTGGATTTTTCTTCCTTTTCAAAAATTTTTTTGAGAAGTGCTAATGTGTTTGTAGCTTGTGCGACGAAGCTCAACAAATGTACTTGCAGGTAAGCTCGAGGATAAATGTAACAGTGGGGAGCAAAAGGCTGCCGTCGTCCTGCTCTTTAGGTGGCTCCATGGGCATGAGTCATATATGAAATTGCATGGCAAACAGATATTATTGCAAAAACGGCTCTTCCATGCATTAATTTCCATCTTAGAAATAGAAATCAGCAAATGGATGTTGTTAAGAGAAATTTCACTACAAGATCAAAGATAAGAACGAATGATGAAAGCTTGCTCGAGATTTGCCCGAGCAAAGTAGAAGGACTTTTGGCTGCACGCTTAGCACTCATGCTGGTCGATAACCACGGCTTACTCTCTGTGCTGACGAGCCGGCAGAAAAGAAAACCGAAGATACACATAGTTACACAGCTTTAATAAACCTCTTAAACTCCAAATCCTATATATAAAGCTGAATGTCTGTCTGTCTGTCTGTATGTCTGTATGTCTGTACGTATGTGCGGAATAGAAATTTTTATTTCTGAACCGATTTGGACCAAACTTGGCACACATATACTTCGGGGCAGGGAGCGTGTCATAGGCTACTTTTTCTTATCGATCAATATCGATTTTATCGATTTTTTTGCAAAATTTGAGCTAAAGGGCTGGGAGTTGGCACAGGGGGGTAATCGAGCATGCTGATTACAAATATATTATTGACAGTCCCGGGCGAAGCCGGGTTTGCCAACTAGTATCACATATGTTTCCGTTCTGCTTTAATCAGGAACTAACGGTTTACTTATTGCGTTTGCGCTTCGCTGTACTATGGTAAGTTAGTAGAAAAACTCGACATTCTAGAATAGCCGGTCTTGAGTAAAGAGGCTACTTTGAGATTTGTCGTGCATTTTAAGATTTTGTGAAACGCTGCGGTGGTAGTTCAAAGTTGGATAAAAGATGCGAAGTAAAAGTATGAATTCGGGCAAACATTTTTTCTTCAGCTTTAGGGATGTTACTACTTCTTCAAGAAGGAAGTCTGATTCTATTCAAAGTATGCAAAGATGATTTTCATCAACGAAAATTCTCACGTTTTACAGAGAACAAAAAAACTTCAGTAACTATAAATAATTATATAATAATACAGGGTGTCCCAAAAAATATGCACACTGTTTGATCGTTAATAACTCCTCGCTTCGATGTTTTAAAGGCAGTGGCTCGGCAGAATGACAACTTTGGAATATTCATCGTTCTCGGTTCCCTTGGATGAGCTAAGTCTTAGACTGTGCTTTACAGCTTCAAAAGATGTCAATAAGCCGCTTTTGCAAAGTGAAAAGCGCTATTTTTGGGCGGACCGCGTATCTGCCCTCTAGAGGGCGATTGGCTCGTGAGTGGAGATACTGTACCTACCGTACCCATGAGCCAATCGCGCTCTAGAGGGCTCCGCCCTCAAATGGCACTTTTCACGTCTGGCAAAGCGAGTTATTGACAAGTTATTGCCAAGTTATTGCCAAGCCGCTGCCTTTAAGCCCATCTTCAGGTACCATTCTGTAGTGCCTGCTTCGACTTAGATTTACGGTTTGGAGCAGAGCTCCGATCTTTCTTCGTTACGCTAGGATTACGGTAAAAATTTGAAAGAGGTTTTGAGCTATAAGAGTTGCATTTTGCCACGGAAACAAAACCAAACGAGCCAAAAACTTTTATGCTAGGCTAGTTGGAGTCGCTGATTACAGACATGCAATTTGCATACTACGGTCATGCTTCCTTCATGAGTTATTTCAGGAAGACAGTAACGACGTTCTTCCAACCTTCTTCAAAAATGTGACTGCAGCTCTAAAAAGGATTAGAATTTTTGTAAAAAGTTGCATTATGAAATCTGCATGTTTGAAAATTTTGCTACACAAATTTCCTGAGTTTTTCGGGAATTTTTTATCGAACAGCCTAATCCACGATGGCGCTGTGTGCTGAAAGTTCATACTGTAATCCTGCAGTATCAAAAAGAGAACAGAGTTTCGCTTCATACTGTAAATCTAAGTTGTACCTCAATCTAAGTTGTACTTTAAAGAATGGTATCTAAAGATCGGCGAGAGACATCGAAGCAAGCGAGTTATCAACGATAACAGTGTGCCATTTTTTGGACACCCTGTATAATTCATATAATTGTAAATAAATAAACAGAATAAAATAACTTTAGCACTTATAACTGTTTAAAGAGAAGGATTGAAAGGATCGAAAGGACCCTTTATTACCGAACCGAGTCTGAATGTTTATGACATTCTGTAGCCTTTCTGACTAAACTTTCTGAAGTAGAGAACGGTTGGCGCATGTCCGTGGAGGGTGTAGAAGAATAATGATACTATGATGATTCAAGCGTATTCAAAATTAAGAACGATTTTCCATGGGGCTTCCGGGAAACCCTACCCTTTCAACGCTTTAGTCTATCGACTGCAATTTGCATTCTGCCAGTCAGACTTGTTGGTTTTGTCCGTAACAATTCTAAGTGAAAGAGTGGAGTGTCAAAGAATTCACAATTCGCAAGAATTCACGCACAGAGAAGAAGTAATCGATTTTTCCACCAGAAACTAAACTCATTTTTGCAAGCTAATGGAGGATATAAAAACGCAGATCAGTGTGTTCTCATAGCTATCTTAATTAATTAAGATGCTCTCGGTTGATGTAGGTGTGTGTAACTGATGTAGGTTATTGTTAGTTAGCAATAATTCGATCTTAACGATAAGACAATTTGCAAATGAACCTTAAAAGGGGATTATCATGCCTGCATCTAAGCTTACTTCATATGGTCACATGCAAAGCATGATATTGCAGTATAGAGAACGCATATCATACATAATTCTGCTCCGATTCACTCAGAAATATGAGTAATGGAAGAGTAGCAGCAAACATTCCCACTGAAACTTTTTCTAGCTTCGGCTAGCACGTCATGAATTGCCGCGCCGCTCGGCTTTCACGACATGAACAGCTGAGTGAATGGACTTTTGAACGGAAGGACTTTGCAGCGCATGTAAAAACATTATGTCTCTCCATAGTCGTGGACAAGCGATCAGGAACAAATTGTCCAAAACGCTGCTTTGCTTGACAGAAGGCAAAAAGATGATCTCTTATATTCTATCTAGTAGAAATCTAACTAGAAGATGCCAGTGCCATTTCCTTTGCAAAAAATTGAGGAGATTTTTTAGGGATTGAAAAACTCGCAGAATTCACAAAGTATATGTAGTATCAATCGGGTGCTTAGCTGAATGAGAATAAGACTATCATCAAAGAGTATTCTGCACTAGCGATATCATAGGTGGTACGATGAAAGGTCTTTTGGAGGTGCTATCCAACTTGTAGGAAAACAATGGAAAAAATATCTGTAAGTTTTTTGTAAAGCATCGTAGTAATCAGCTAAATAAATTCAGTTTGCAACGAACCGTTTTGTAGCACTTAAATAAAGCGCCTGATTCAGGACAAAGTGCGGTCTACATTCAAAATTTTGGTCTTAAAAACGTTAACGCAACATAGGGAATGCTGTCACAGTCCGCTGCTCCTAATGCTTAGGTAGCTGGCAACTTTGTTAATGAAAACTGAGAAGTGAAAACATTTTTGTACAACGTTTTTGTGCAAGCAAAACTCTGAAGAGTCACGCCACGCTTTGACTGACAAATTGTAATATCCTTTAAGTACAAGAACTTCTCGACAAAAAGTTGCCAAGTAAGGTTTGTGTCAGTGAGAAAACTTCGCAGAAACTTGGCGAGTGTGATAAATTTGATCATAAATCTGTCCGAAAGAGGGAAATATATGAGAAAAAAACAGACTTCAAAAATCTCTCGGTGATGAACGTCTCGGAATTTCGCTTTTATCAGTAACTTGAGCCATGTATCTCACTGAACAGACTAACTCCGAAACATTTTAAACCGGCTTTTTTATGAGATGTGAATTTACCCTCTGGTTTGTAACCTTTCTTACAATATGCATCTATTCCTCGTGTTTTGTGAAAGAAGAAGATTTTTACGACTACCTTAAGGAACGCACAAAACCAAAAATGGAGATTATTTTGTTTTTTTTGTTTTTTTGTTTCTCTTATTTTGTGATGGCTCAATATATTAGGTCATTCCGAAAGTAAAAACACCCTTGTAAAAACACCCAACACCCCATGTTGCATACTTTTTAAAAAGGGTGCAACATGCAATGGAACAGAAATTTCTGAGAGGTCTTGTTAGCTTTCGATGCAATTCATCCCCTTTTGTAGTGGTTATGAACTCATTGCAGCTTTGTCAAAGAGCTCTTGGAAATTACAAAAATCTGCGACTCACGCTTTTTGAGGTGCTCAAGTTTCACAATTTTCTAAATATATATCAGTAACGGGTGCAGCCTCCGAAGGAGTCCAATAACGATTCGATAGAGCAAACCTCAGAAGATACAGTAAGACTTTTCTCTCTTTTTCATAGTTTGCCACAATTTTTTTGAAGATTTTTTATTGAAAACATCAGATTTTGGCAAGTCTCTGTCAGCCACAATCGCATCAAACAGCAATAATTTTCAGAATATGAACTCCCCAGATGGTACTAATTAACACTAATTTTGCAAAGTAAATGAAACTTTACGTACTCGAAATATCAGATTTCGAGTTTCTCGAGTAGAACCCGGGGCGTCAAAAACATGAGTTGTGGTGATTCTACCCCGAAGACTCTACGAATCGGAACGAAAAGCACCACTTAGAAAGAGGAGAAAAGCTGCATCGAATGACACCCTAGCTTCTCCCCTTTTGATGTTCTATG